AGAACAACTTGCGCATCCGGGGAATCGAACCCCGGTCAGTACCGTGGGAGGGTACTATGATACCACTACACTAGATGCGCTTTTGTCCATAAAGTCAACAAGAAAATTTATTAAATTTAGTTTAAAATTTCCAAGAACGTTATAATTCGATGTTTATTTAAATTTTTAGACCCAAACATAAAATTAAAAAGTTAAAAAAATATATATACTTATTGATATATAGATATACCTATAAATTGAAATATAAGATACGAACTTCTAAGATTCATTCATAGCTCTAATTTCCATAAAACATAGAAAAATATTATTTTTGACACCAATATAAACATAAACAGTAAAAATAAGAACTATAGCTTAAGTTGGAAGTAAAATTAATTTTAATATTAATTTGTACAATTTGTTATTTACAAAAAAAAAAAGAAAAAAAAATATTCATATCTATATTTTATTGATATTTTAGAAATTATAATCTTACCATCATTATTAATATCAATAACTATATTATTATTCTTCGCCCTTATCCACATAAAATTCTCGATTATATTATAGATCTATAAACAAAAAAATGAAAATTTGTAGAATCGATAGAAAATTTTATTTGAATATATTAAATAGTTTTTAAAATTTAAAAATAAAAAAAATACAAATTGGACATAAATAAATAATATTATATTTAGTTCAGATATTCTATATTATGATAAGAACAATTGCTATACAAAAAAATCGTATTGATTTTTTTATTTATGTTAAAATTAAAAAATAAGAAAAAAAATTAAATTCAAATGAGTTTAAATTGGTAACTCCAACGAGTAAATGATCCAAGTTTAGTCTTTCTATTTAAAAAAAAAAGAAAAAAAAGTAATTTTCATCCTAATTATTTTGTAAGATTAGATGTCTAGCTTATCCATTAAAGAAAACTAACAAAATATTATCTCATGAATTAAATAAAAAATAATAATAATAAAATAAATTTTGATGACTTTTTAGTATAATTTAAAAGAGTATAAAAATGAGCCGTACAAATTTATAGAATTTAAAAGTGATATTCCAAAATACTTTTAGATTTGAACTTTCACTAAAAAAAAATGATCACATATCAATTAAACTGTTCTACATTTTTATTATCTTTATTAAATATGAAGATGAGTCAAATTTCTAATATATATATATATATATATTATATTATATAAATATTAAAAAAAAAACAAATAATAAAAACCTCACGAATATTTTGCCTTGGCTTCTTGAACTTCTCCCACGATCACCGTAATATCATCAATCTTCCCTCCGTCGCACAAAAACCCGGCCTCTCTAGCACCAACCGAAAACGGCGTCGTTCGACGTTTGTCGAGCGAGTTGCTCAACGCCAACTCGCCCAATCGCCACGCCAATTTCCCCGAGTCAACCGGTTCCTCCTCCTTCAGAATCTTCTCGATCTCGCAAGCGAAAACGTTGTCCAGTAGCCCGTCCGTACCAGCGACGATGATATCTCCGGCATAAACCTCCACTCTACACTCCCAAGGCTGTACCGGCAGGCTGAGAGAAAATCCGCCTGTTAATTGATACGGACAGTTGAATCGATGCTGTTGCGTCGCCGATACGAAAACGAGCTTCTTCTCTCTGAAGATCATGAATCCGCTGTCGCCGATGTTCGCCGCGTGTAGCGTATTGTTCCTGAGAGCGATTACGCAGGCCGTGGAGGATCCGATTATGTACTTCGTCTTCAAGTAGCCTTCCGTCAGAATCCGCCTCGGATCTGTCTCCTCTGCCGCGACGGCAGCGCAGTTCGCCATTAACGCTCTGGAGTACTCTCCAGCGTCGATGCCTTCCTCCGCCCAAGCGCCAACGCCGTCGGCGACTCCGAAGATGTTCCTGGAGTGAGAGATGAAGTGAGCGTCTTCTCCTAGAGGTCCGAAGGAGTTTCGCTTAGGAATATAGGAGGATCCGAAGTCGATTCTCAACTCCGGCGCGGTGGCGAAAGGAGTAGAAGAACGCTTGGTTGAGATCATACTGGCTAGGGATATGGAACTGAAATTTCTGCGAATTATATGAGAGAAAACGAAATCGGAAATTTGCGAATGGAAATTGAGAAATAAATTTGTGGTTGAGAACGGAGTCGTGGAGGGCTTTTATAGCTGTTGATTTCGTGGTTTCCTTCCACAAGATGGAAGATTGGGGGATTTTATTTTTTTTCAGATTTATTGATATTTCAAATTATGATTAATTAAGATTTAAGGATTTTTTTTTTTTTTTTAACTAGTTGATTAATTTTCCGTTATTTTTTTTTCTTTCCTTTGATCCATGCAATTTTTAAGTACTTGTAATAGTTTTTTTTTTCCACTTTTAAATTTAATAGTTATAGACTGAATTATCACTATTTAATTAATATTTTATTTAGACTAAATTAATAAATAATTAAATAAACCTGATTTTGTACTTTATCTAAATAATAAACCTAAACTTTCAAAATAATAATAATAATAATAATAATAATAATAATACCTTTTAAATTTAAAAAATAAATAATAAATTACATTTCGTTTTATTTTAAAATAGTTAACACCTTTTTTAATTTTCAATAGTTTTTTAAAAATATCTTTAAATATTAAAAAGTTGATTAATACTTTTAAAATTTTTTAAAGTTTAAAAAATACTTGAATATCATACTTTAGAAATATCCATACCATTTTTAAAATAGTATTAAATCTTTTAATATTTATAATAAAAAAATCTTATTATATATTAAACTGTCTACTTATATTTTATAGATTGTTCTTTTTTCTAGAATTTAAAAGTATTAACGTTATTTTCAAAAGTTTATGAAATTTTTTAAAATTATAACAATATTGGTGTCGTTCTTATACTAATGATAAAAGTATTAGTTAACTTTTAAAAACGTTCAAACGTGTTTTTTAAGGTATTAATAAAATTTACGTACAGTCATAAATATTTTTTAAAAATTAATTATACTTTTTAAACAAAATATTAATAATTTCTATCCAAAAATATATTTTTAAAATTTTTGAAAAAATTTGAAAGTTTTTTTTTAAGTTAAAAAACATGATTAAAATTTTTTAAAACTAAAAGACAAATGATTTATTTGGTGCATAATTGATTGAAATAACAACCAAATTATAAGAGAATCCTAATTTTTTTATTCCTTATCCATCTCATATCAATATTCTTAACATCTTTAATATTTTTTAAAATTATATAAAATTAATAGTTATATTTAAAATTATAGAAAATAAATTATTAATAAAAGGGAAATAACATAACAATAATGGCATGCCAATCATAGTGATCATCACATTATTTCTTTAATTTTAAATGGGGTGAAATTAATTTGATTTTTTAAATTTTTTTTTAATTCAAAAAGTAAATATACACTTGATCATTACGTGGAACACTCGAATTCAGTGTACTTACGAACATTAAGAAATGAGAATAAAATATATGATACATTCCTAAAATTGGGAATCACTTCGACAATTCTATTCCTTACAAAAGTAATCAATCTCATTTTTTTTCGGTTTTTATTCTGTCAGACCGACACAATTTTTATTTACTTTATATTATGTCTTTTTTCCTTCCCTTATTTTTTTCGCCTTTGAAAACGAGCAAATTCACACATGCAAAAAATATTGTTATTTCCATTTTTTAATTTCTATCAATGTTCATTAACAATTATCAATTTAATTTTAAAAAATAATTGGTATTAAAATAAAATTTTCCAAACTTCAAGATCTAATATTTATTTTTTAAAATAAATTTACAAAATTATTTGTCAAAATGAAATTTGAGCTTTAAATCATGTAAGGAGTAAATTGACATTTCCATTACCTCGGTATAAAATTTTATTCTCGACAAATATATATTATAAAAAAATTAAAATAGATTATTTAATATTTACAAAAATCATAGGATATTGTTGGAGAGATTTTTTTTAGAATATATGCCCATAAGAATAAAAGAAATAAAAATAAATAAATAAATAAAGTACAATTTGACACGTAGCCCAATTTTTTTTCTCTAAATATAATTTATTAATTTCCTTAAAATCGAGAAAATAACCATATTAAATGCTTAAAAAGAAAATAAAATTAGAAAAGATTAAAAAAACCCTATATATTTAGCTTTATTTATTTATTTAAAAATATAAAATTAATATATAATTTAAACCCTTTTTCTTCTTTCTTTAATTTTTTTATTATTTTAAAAACTACTATTCGTCACATTACTAATTAAAAATTTTAAACTTAATTATTAAATATTTACCGGTCAAAACGTGACCTTACTATTACAAATTAGGGTATGAGTTCGATGAAATTTTTTGGACCAACCCAAAGTTTAGTATGGTTGGTTGGATTGGTAACCCAATCTAACCTGAAATTGTTTCGTAGTCTACCCAACCCAACCCAATCTCAATATAATTTATTAATACTTTTTTCGATTCTAATCAGTTCCAATGAACTCGAAATCTAAATCAAACTTATTCAATTCTAGAAAATTAACTTAACCTTTAAAATTTAAGTTAGATAAGTTCGAATGGTCGAGTTTAATGTACACCACTATTATAAATATTAAATTAATTTAACAAGTAGAATAAAATTAGAATAAATTATAAACTTTTTATTTTTGCTTGAATCGAGTTAAAACAAAATTTTCCGTTTTCCGAAATCTAACTCAAACTCTTGTCGTGGTAAATTGGTAAATTGTGGAAGGACTAGAAGTTTGTGACGTCAGCATAATTGTCCAGGCCACGTCATTGAAGCAAGATGAAACGCTTGCATGTATGACACGTGTCATTCGATGAATGAATCATCGAACAATTGGCCTACATTTTTACTAAATTGGCCTCAGTTTTGTCTTTTTTTGTGCGTGTGATGTTCATAAGATATATTCATAAAGTAATATAATTAAAAATGACATAAAATTTGATCGGTAATAATAAGAAGTAAATAGAGGGGTTTTATAACTCAAATTTATTTAAAATTGTTTTAGGTGTCTGGATGATTGCCACGTTGACGGTCTTCATTCATCCCCCACCCCCGAACACCAAACTGGAGCTCGGCGGCGGCGATGAGGAACTCCACCGCCTGCTTCGGCGTGAGAAGCTCCACCACCTTCTGCACTGTCCGCAGCCGTAGATCGTCCGCTTTCTTTATAATGCTAACCAGACCTTCACTCTTCCCCGACGCCTCCACCCTCCTCAGCATCAGCTCGCTCTCCTCGTCTTGCCACCCCGATAGCTCATCCGTTATCGCATTCTCCTCCTCCACCTGCATGAAATTTCATAGATGACCTTTGATCGAAATATTAGTGAATAAGGAAATATTAGTTAATAACTTATTCTACTAAATCTATTAATAATTCTGCTAAAATTACACCAATTTACTCGGTAAATTGATTCCCACATAAGCCATTTCAATGATGCGATGGAAAGCTTCCACGAGAAAACCAAAAAATGACAATATTTACTAGCTAAGAAAAGTCTAAAGACATTATTGGCTAGCGACGGGTCTAGATCATTATAAATAGTATCAGAGCTAGATATCGGACTATGTGTTAGCAAGGAGACTGTTCCCCGAAAGGTAGACACGAAACGGTGTGACAGTAAGGACGCTGGACCTTGAAAAGGTGGATTTGGTGACGTCCCACATTGATTGAAGAAAGGAACGAGTGTGAACGAAGACGCTGTGCCTTGAAAGAATGAATGGTGTAAACCTTTTTCTACCACATGTACTTACACGTTACTTCTTAAAATGGCCTTAAAAATATATATATTATATATGTATGAATGAAGAGGGTATTTACCGTTTGGCACTGGATCTCGCTGACACGGCGGAACTGGGAGGGGGAGAGGTCGCCAAGGTCGCCGGTGCGGGGAGCGTGAAGAATATCGGCAATCTGGGACTGAAAGAGAATGGTTGACTGGGAGTAAATCAAGTGAAAAGTAGTGGTGGGACGCCAACCAGCTACCCAATGAAGGGAGCGTTCAAAGGAGGTAGCCCAGGGGGCGGAGAAGACGGAGAGAGGGTCTTTCTCGGCGGCGAGGGACTTGACGCGGAAGTACTCGGAGTAGTGGGAGATGATGGTGTGGACGAGGTGGTGGTGGTGGTGGTCAGTGGGGGTGGAGGAGAGCTGGTGGATGAGGTGGCGGAGGTGGTCGAACCAGGTGGCGTAGAAGCTCGTGAAGTTGAGCCCGCTGCTCATTTTGGGTTCCGGTGAGAGGTTACGAGAGAAACAGAGATCTGAAGGAGGAGGAACTGAAACTGCGGCCTTTTAGCTTTGTGCGTTCATGGCTTTTGTTTCTTCTACTTTTTGTCTTCAATGGGAACGGTGCGTCGGCTAAATGGAGAACAGCCGTACCAAACGTGTCCAACTTTAATTGGTCACACTATCAATTTTTTAATATTAAATTTACGAGTATTTTTTAAAAATTATTTATATGAATATTCTTAATTTTTTTTTAAAGAGGGTCAATTAATTTCTTTTGTATTTTTTAATGTTGTATTTTCCAAACACTTTTTTAAGTTGAAAGGGTATTTTTTTTTAAATATTAATGGATATTTTAAAAAATTTTAAATGTTTTAAGAAAATTATTAAAACCTTATTAATGTATATAAATATAATTTGAGTGTATTTTTATTAATTTAACCGACTATGTTTAGGAGCTTGTTATTGTGGTAATAATACGAGTATTTATCTGTCAATGGGTTCGTCTTCATACCATTAGTGCCACCGTCATTGGCATGTAAATTTTTTTTGAAAAAAATACCATTACAATTAGTTTAATGAAAAATTAATATTTCATTTAAAAATAGTCTTAGTTGTTATAAAAAAATAAAAAATGTTGTTATCATTAATTGGGATGAAACGGTTAATATTTTGTGTAAAAAATATTTTTAAATTTTTTAAATTTCACTAATACTCTTGAATAAGAACTTTTAATAATAATTAAAAAAAACTAAAAAATATCTATAACATTTAAAAAATACTCCCTAATTCTAAAAAAATAATATTAAAAAAATTTAGAAATATTACAAAATTATAAAATTTAGGAATATTTTTATTAATTCAACTTAAAAAAAATTCATTAATCTTACGTGGCACGTGCGACCAATTAGCGGCTAAATCACATTTAAGTGTCGGACGAAGATTGGACCAAATTCCTGCGTCTTGTCGTTACCTGAAAGAGAATAAACGAAGACCAGAATCTATTCTCACATCCGATTGGCTGTGACAAAGTTAGCGTCCGCGGGTAGGTGATTGTAGCGTTTCTCCGCATTAAAAAAATCCGGACAACTCATTAGAATCAGCCACAGGTTTAATGGAGGCTTTATGAATATACAAACGAATACCGTCCCGACCGCGTTGCTAATTTGGCGTTCTGAAGAACAAACCCTTCGCTTTCCAATCCTTCCTTGCCTTCTTCATGTTTACCTTGTTCAATTCCCAATCCTAAAACCCTACTTCTCACTTCGAGCAATTCCTCTGGTGTTTGGAATTTGAAAATTCATTTCTACTGCTCCCTTTTGCGTCTTCTGTAACCTAGTTCATTGGTTTATTTGTTTGGAGATTGAATTCCGGGATCGATTCCAGTTCTTGTTGTAGTTCGTTTGGTGTTTGAGGAGGAATTGATCGGTTGTGGAGCTGGAGATGCAAGATTCTTACTCGATTCTTACTCGATTCTCTGGAGTTCTGTTGGTGCCCTAAGTAAAATGCTTCTACCCTAGTTCTTCTGCTGTTGTTTTATTTGATAGGCTGGTCTATTGATTTTACTTCTAGATTGTTGATCTTTGTTCATCGTGAAGGTTCTCTTTCTCATTAAGTTTATCGAGGAAGTTCGTTTCTCCCTTTGTATGAAGAGGTTGTGGGTGTAAGATAAGGTTGGAGGTTTTGGATTCTTTCACTAATGTCCGTAGAAAGATCCTTCGAAGCTTGGGAGGAGGTGCAGAGGCATGGTCAGGATTTCGCGGACCGTCTTGCTCAGGGTTTCACGGGACTGATTCATTCTCACATACCGCCGCCTTCATTTCCCTGGCCAAATCCCCCCAATTCTAAGCTCTTTGATCTTGAATTTCCGGGACAAAGTTTTGGTATCAAGGATTATGGGTTGACTGCCCACGATTCGATTTTTGATATTGGTAGTAGGATTGGACAAGCTAGCGCTGATTTTGGTGCTTGTTTGAATGGTGTGGTTCAACAATTTTTCAGACAGCTGCCGATGCCATTTTGGCCTGAGGAGAATGTAATAGGGTCCATTAGGATGGATCGGGATAAGAGTTGGCAGAGGGATGATATGGGTGTTGCTGTTCAAGGGAATCTTGGAACATTAACAGAGCGCTTGCGTAGTTCTGAACTTGCTGACAATGATGCTGGTTCAGATGCGATGGTTGACGATGAAGCATCTGGCTTTGATTTGAAGGCTATAGGACATCTGGGAAGGGCACAGGTAATAGCAGTGTGATAAACATTTATTTAATTTGCAAATTGCAGACATGATATTGGCAGTACGGCAGATAATTAATTTTTCAATGACTGCTTTCAGGTGTTCTATTTTGACTAGGACAAAAATGGTTTACTCTTCATTAGCTAAAGACCTGTTTTATCTACTAATTGTGGTCTAAATCTATAGCTTATTACAGAACAGAGACCTCTTCGAACACAAATCTGCCAAATAGAGTGATCAGGAGTTCCTTTTCTGAATGGCTTCTTTAAATAGTTATTAATACACTGCCCTACAGTGGCCTGTTCAGCCACGAACTTAGTGCATTTATGATCACGTTCAACAACTCACCTATACAGAGACAGATAATAATTATTATGGGGAAGAAACCATTGACTTGAGAATAATGAAGGAAAGTTTCGAAAAAATTATAGCTATGTTGTCCATGGTGGAAACTATTGTGATTTGAGCACTACTCATTCACACGAGATGAGACATGCTAGAGGAATCATTTTGAAATAGTTAGCTGTTACTATCTGTCAATAATAGAACATATGGTTATGACAACATCATAACGTGAGCGAAACAATTATCCTGTGGGAGACCATGAAAAGTTGATACATTTTTTGTATGTAGTAATTTTGTCAATCCTTGGTTCATCTTTGTGACATCCTCGTTTTAGTTGAGGGAGCCTCTAATCCTGTTTTTTTGAAAGTTACATTGTCTTTATGTTCTACCAATTGTAGTGGAAATCTCAGCAAATTTTGTGTTCAATCATCTTATCTCCCCAGCCAGTATTTTCCTTCTCTTCCAAACCCTACAATTCCATGGCATTTATTCATCTTTTTTGTGTGGGCATAGTGGTGGTGTTAAAATCATAGTTATGTAGGTTGAGGATTTCTGTTTCCTCTTTAATATTATTGTTCTTTGGGTGTAGAGCACGATCAATATTTCTTCAACGTATGATAGTAGATCACGAGATGTGGAAAGTTCATTAGTTGCCAGAGGAGATCTATGGAGAGTAGAAGCATCACATGGAAGAACAGCATCTGGAAATGATAACTCATCTTTATTTCTGCTGCAGCTTGGGCCAGTACTCTTTGTTCGTGACTCGACACTTCTTTTGCCAGTTCATTTATCAAAGCAACACTTGCTTTGGTACGGTTATGATAGAAAGGTAACACCTACTTTATATGGCTAGTAGCATCAAAATTAAATCACGTGTCAGATTTTGGACAATAAAGTCATGTTAGAATCAAAGTGCAGAAGTTATTTTGTTTTCAATTAAACAAACAGAATAGTTTGGATGTTACTGCTAGGAGTGTTAGGATTTAGTTGGGTTTCAAGAAGAGTCTTTTTACACGACAGCAACCTTATTTGTTGGATGTCTATTAAAGGAGTTCTCTGCATTGCTACCAATAGCTATCCCTTTAGAAAGATGTGATTGTCACTATTTCATTGACTATTGCTGTCAATTTTATTATGGACAGCTTAAACTTTTTCTAAAAGCACGTTGACCACCAATTTTCAGTTTATTAATGTTCAAAATCTTGGATTGCTCTTCATGTCTTAAAATCCTTTCTGCAATCCTGATGTGAGTGTTGAACTTGAGTTTCTCCTTGCAATATGTGTAGGAATTTTCTAGTTTAGTCTGATCAAACGCTACGTTAGTAAAAGGTACTGTATTTTAACTTGGCAATCGGGACCCTTAATGTGATATACATAATTTGAGACTTAGAAATATGAATACCATTCTTTCACTTTCAATGCCTATTGTTTTTGCTTTTAGAGAAACTTTTGAATTTTACTTCTTCAAGTGCCCGTGACATGACACATTAAACTGTCATTTTCATATAAACCCTACTTTATTCCAACTTCTAATGTTATTATTTCATGAATCATCAGAATGGAATGCATTCTCTATGTCCAGCAGTCTGGTCAAAGCATAGAAGGTGGTTGTTTATGTCAATGCTTCGTCTCAATCCCCCAGCTTGTGTAAGTTGATAAAACCATTTCATTTCCTATTAGCATAATAATTGTGGTGAACTTAGTTTGGTTTTCAATGACATAAAACCGTGTCATAAGAAAACCGAAGTAATCTTTTTAAACAAAAAGCAATTGGCGTCGTGAGAGCTATCTTGGGGCCCACTAAGTGCAGAACATGCTCTTCCAAATGGAAAGAATTGCTCAACTTTATGTATACGAAAGTTCTTACGTTGTTTGCCATATTAAAACTTCAGAATCAGGGATCAGTGCTCAAGTATATTCAATAAACACTAATCAGGAAGAAGGCTCTATCTTGGAGCAATGTTTTACTTATCCAGTAAATGAAGATAAAAATTTTCTTGTTTTGGTCTTATTTTTTTTTGTTCATGTTGTTTTTGGATTGCCTGGCTAGTGGCAATTGCTTGACCATAAAGTTTAGAACTATTTCTTGTTTATCATACCCTTTGGATCAGTCGAGTAACATCACCTTCCCCCTCCCTCCTTCCCAGTCCTTTGTTGATTTACAGTTCCCCAACGGGCAGTTGACTTATGTGTCGGGTGAAGGCTTAACTACAACAGCATTTTTGCCCTTTTGTGGAGGCCTCCTTCAAGCTCAAGGTCAATATCCAGGAGAAATGAGATTCAGCTTCTGTTGCAAGGTTAGTTATGTCCTGATTTCATTCCTATAACAAAAGAAGACAAAGTTGGTTCTCCTTTGCAAATTCAATTTCCTAAAGAACTTGTATGGGTATGGACCCCAGTGTTGCTAAGTTGGTGCCTTGTTTGTGCTGGTCGATTTTCTTAGAATAAATGGGGAACCCGAATAACACCAATGGTGCAATTTCCTGACAAATCATTTACTTTGGACCTTGCTCAATCATTGGCTTGGAAGAGAACAGGTCTTCTGGTGAAACCAACTCTACAATGCAGGTTAGTGTATATATGCTTATTCATCAAAGTCGAGTCATCTATATTTTTCCGACTATAGCAATAAATGTCAGTTTGGACTTTGATGTTGTCTATGAGTATTTGTTGCAAACAATGAAAATAACCGGGCTCTTGACATGCTTTCATACGGATACGCCCAAGACTCGTCTCCTAGACTGATTTCTGTTGTGTGATTACTTGGAAAGTTTTTTCAACACCTTAGGTTCGGATTTGGATAGTTGGTGATTAAATGAGAGTTCAAACTGTATCTCATGTTGTATAAAGAATTCACGTTGTGGTACAGATGCAAGTATAATTCTCCTCTTCCATTTTTCCGCTTGCACTAGGCATGATTTTCAGTTCGATATCCTTGCAGCGGAAACTTATTTTCATTTTTTCGCTTCTCCTGTGACAAGTGGTCATTTTGTATCTAATGTTTGACTTTAAATGATCAGTTTGAGTTCCACTTTTGGGGGAAGCAATCCTGGGGTTCGTGCAGAAATTGTTCATTCAGTGAAGGAACATCTCAATCTCATGTGCGGCTGTTCTTCCATTGCCCATCCTTCTGCATTTGCTTCAATTTCTGTAAGTATTGAATTACCTTTTGTCTGTGGATCATGTTTATTTACAGCTATTAACCACCTTTACTTGTATTATTTATCCATCGACTCCTTTTTCTTTTACCGTATTATAAATATCTTCACTACTAGCCAGTCTCCTTTCTTCTATTTGATTTCTTGCTCGGCATCCAGATCGGCAGGTCAAAATGGAACGGGAACGTTGGGAATTCCGGGATAGTTGTAAGAGTTGATGCTCCACTCTCAAATATTCGACGAACTTCTTTCTCTGTTCAGATAAATACTGGGATTGAGTGTTGATCTTCTTATGAAACCTGCGTTTTTGGTAGTTGCAAGTGTATAGGTAGTCTCAAAACTGCTCTCTGTTATTTACGTGATAGGTGAATATTTGTTAACTATTAGGCCATCATCTGTAAATCATGGCAGGCCCTTTTCTCTTTTCTTCTCTCATTTTAAAGCAGTTTCTACTTCTATTTCATCAAATTTTCAGAGTTCGTAACAGAGTTATTTCATTTGGTACTCTAAATTAATTATAGATCGATGGTTTTAGTTCGATTGATGATTGGCAAATGTTGTTGGTGGTTAGAGGGTGAACCCGTACACCATCACATTCCACCTGGTCGTCGATTGATATGGAAGTTGACCCTCTTCTAAAAATATTAATTGAACTTGGTCAACTCTTGACACAACTTTAATTCAACTAGTCTAACCCGACCGATTTAAATCGATCACATCTAGCCAGTTATTCAGTTTATTTGGCAGAACAAGAAGCATGTAAAATAATAATTGTCACAAATGTATCCATCTCACTATGAATTTGATATTTCCCTTTGATTCAGTCTCGAAGGAGACTTCTGGTCGAAGAACAGTCTCGAGTCTCGTCCTTGTTTTGGGTAGAAGTAGACGACGAGTCGATCCATGGTCCATCAATTAACATGCTTCTCTGCATTTGAATGCCTTGTGAAGATGTTGAAATGCTTGTTAGGCTGTCCTGTGACAGCTTCTCAAAGGCTTTGAACCTTGCATCTCGATCACCTACATTGCGCTTCATGTTCGGTACTTCAGTTGGGATTTTACCTTCAAGCATGCTAACCACAGAAGACATGGATGGTCTGAGGGTCGGAGATAGGTTCGTGCATAAGAGAGCGATATGAAGCATTCTCATGACCTCTTCTTTCGAGTATTCTGAGCCAAGATTCGGATCAACAAGTTTGAGTAGGTTTCCTTCTTCTTGTAGAACAATAGCCTTCATCAAGTATAAGACACTCCATGTGTGAGGAAAAGTGAAAGAGAGAAAAACTAATTGATGGCTAAAAGGGGAAGAACTTAGAAAGGCACTAGTTACCCAGTCAAGAAGAAAAACAAACTCCTCTTGTGGCATGCAACTCGTGTTACTTTTCCCGCTAACAATCTCTAAGGCCACGACACCAAAGCTATAAACGTCAGCTTTATGAGTCAGATAACCCCTTGTTGCATACTCGGGCGCCATGTATCCTCTACAAGAGATTCAAAAGCTATCTCATTGCGAAAGGACTAAACTTGATCTAATAGTTTGAGCTAAATTAACATTAGAATGAGATAGAGAAAGAGAGATACATTGTGCCTGCAATTCTTGTGCTGATATGGGTGTTCTCCTCTTCATGAAGCTTAGCCAATCCAAAGTCAGAAATCTTGGCATTTAGGCTTTTATCAAGTAGCACGTTAGTAGCTTTTATATCTCTGTGAACAACTTTCAATGAAGATTCTTCATGAAGGTAAGCCAACCCCTTTGCTATTCCCAAGCATATCTTCATTCTTACTGGCCACTCCAAATGGAGTGAGTGCTTCTCGGGGTCTTGCAATGAAAACCATAAAATATTTATAACGATTTTGAAACTGAAACAAGCTAGCAATGAAAGATATATGTAAGGCACTTACTAAATAAGGCACGAGCAAGATTATTGTTCTCTAGATACTCATAAATAAGCATTAATTGTTTTCCTTCAATACAACAACCATAGAGCTTTACGAGATTCGGATGTTGTAGCGCTGATATCATGCCGATTTCAGTGATGAATTCACGGTTCCCTTGCTTTGATTTAGAGGATAGCTGCTTTACAGCAATTGAAGTGCCATCCGACAGAACTCCCTGCCAAATATTTTTTGTTTACTCAAGTTATTTTATATTGAGTCGCATGATTATTTTGAAAAACACGTTGAAAGAAGAATCTGTTTGGTTATGGAGCCTGCTACTTAGCTCACTCAATGGTTATACATAACAAAGCTATATGGAAACATAACATAACAAAGCTATATGGAAACAACTATGTAGTAAAAGGATATGATAAAGCTATACATGATAGATGGTTATATATAGTAGATGGTTATATCAGGTAAAGCTATATAGTAAACAAAACCATATATATATATATATATATATATATATGTCCCTTAATTAGTGCTTTGAAAATATACTTTCTGTATTATCTGTATTTTCTACTTTGAGTCATCAATATAAACCTCTAGCCAATATTCCCCCGTGCAATTTCTCTGTGTGTTAATTTAAATCAAGTGTGTGTATTGTTATGCGAGACTATCAGGATCTTATATCAAACAACGATGAACATAGAGAGAAGAGGATGGAGTTTCCACAGATATACCTTGTAGACAGGACCAAAGCCTCCCTCGCCTATCTTATGTGCCGAGTCAAGGTTGTTGGTGGCTGCTTTGATTTGTCTTAAACTAAAATAACCTGTCTGTAATTTGAGGTCCCGAAGTTCTGTAAAAAGAATATAAAGGAATGCAAGTTTTTTTAAACCAAAGAAATATGTGAGTTAGAAAAAAAAAAGTATTCCTCAAAGAACATATCAAATGTTAACAGGTCGGTCCAAACTTGAATCGTTCCCTTAAGTGGTTGGTAAGAATAAAACTACCAAAGATGTACTTTATAATTCAAACAAATAGATTACTCCTGTAATTATTTATATTACCTTCGTCTTCAGTTTCCCTCCCACCTAAGTAACCCTTCCTTCGAAGAACAACCAATACTGAAACAACCAACACAAAAGTACCAACAACAATGCCAGCAATAGCTCCAGCTGATAACCTTTTTGCCTCATCAAGGTCTACAATAGCAAAAGAAGATGACAACAATTCAAAATAGGCAAAAGATTAATTGTTGAAAGAGAAAAGGCAGTGCTAAGAAAGTTGTAGAAAAGAACACATGACAAGGAAAACCTGAAATGATTAGCATAAGGGATGAAGGTTACTTGATGTAACTGTGATTGCAGATATCAGAGGTCCATAAACTCCTTTGTATGGAATGGCATTTGTTCCTTTACCAGCCCAGTATAAGTGGATCTCAAGAGTATTGCCAGTTACTATAACATTAGGCACTTCCAAAATATAGCTCTTATAAACACCTCCGGCTCTCTCCATTATGTTAAAGTCTTTTTCAATCAATTTTCCCTGTAGAATGAACTAAGTTTGTAAATAGTAATTACTAGACAGAAAGAAAGACCCAACAGCAATACAGTACAATCCCACGATTTAATACGTCATTGTGTTTCCACTCACTTGGATTGAGATGTCAAAAATACGCCTCCCCAAGCTACTGAATTTTTGGTCTGCAGTTGCAGTAAACATTGTTTCAGCAAAGTGAAGCTTCACATGGTAACTTCCACTTTGCAAGCAAAATCCATAGTACTTCAGCGAAACAGGTGCAAGTCGAGCTGTCCCATAGACGCCTAAAAGAGAATTATTGCTACTTGTGTATTGAGCGGTATCATTATCCATGAAAATACCAGTACTGCTGTAACCCCATCTTTCTGAAAAAGAGAATTTGGACTGCTCATCCCTAGTCGTATCCCCTTCGTATAAATTACCATTAAAGTGTGTCTCCTGTCCTCCACAGTTAATGAACAACGAACGAACTACAAGAACCATGTACCAAACAAATAGTTCAATCAAGAATTAGGTAGCTCCCATGAGATTAGTTAAGCTGCGTGCAAACTGGCATATACATATATAAAAGACTACAATTCCAAAAGAAGTTAAAATCATAATTAGATCATCTTCACTTACATTGAACTGCTCTTGCGCATGGGAGATCCCCCCTCAGGCACCAACGAACACTGCAAATTGGATAATTCAGAACTTGCTTGTCACATATGACACATGAAAGTTGATAATTTTTTTTTTTCCTTTTTAATACTACATGTTTGGAAGATTTTCAGTCAATCTAAAGTCATTTTTGATAATCCATCTCACAAGTGTATTTTTAAAAATAGTTTTAGATTAATATGGTCTTTTTTTATAAATTCATTTTGTTTCTTACGGTTTTCTTTAAAGAGAACACTTTCTGATTCTATAAAATCACTCAAAAAGCTATATCAAACACACTTGAATTAGTAAAAAGTCCGAAGGTAAAGGAAAATAATTTGATTTCAAAAACATGTTTTTACATAAACTATTCCAAACACGCTATAACTTTGTTAAGACGAACCTTTCATTACTCGAATTTGAATAACCAGAAAGCAAGTTCCTGTACCAAGGAAATAGATTTGTTCACAGTGAAGCCAAGGCCAATTTACATTTTCTACAGAGATAACAGGCGTTTTATCATGGTAATGAATATGAGTAAAATAACTTACACTTTAGGATCAAAACAAGGGGGAAGAGGCGACCCTGTAAATCTGTTGTTAGATAAATCCCTACAAAGAATTTGTAATAACGTTAGCAACAACTGAAGAGCAAGATAAAAAGAATTTCCCATCATGAACAGATGAGAACAATAATGTAATACAATTTGGAGGGGAAAAAAAAAATGTAACGAAGCGTTAGACTTAACATGTTTCCTTTGCGTCCTGTAATCCAGCTTGGTAAATGACCAGTAAGCAAGTTGTCATTTAGAAACCTAAACCAGGTACGTAAATCATCTCAATTTGCATGTCCAGAACAGAGTAACAAATATGTAGACTGCTCTGTAATAAGTAATAACTTACAAGGAATGAACATCACGGTTTGATAGATTCCGTAATAATGGCTCTGGAATTGTACCATTTAATCTGTTGAAGCTTAAATCCCTATTGAGAGATAAAAGTTCCATCAATGAATCATATTAACTTCCCAGTCCACTTTTTTTTTTTTCTTAAGGAAGAAGGCAAAACTGAGAAGAAGTTCAGAAACTTACAAAGTTTTTAAACTACTAAAATTTTCAAAATAATCGGGGATTTTATCCTCAATTAAGCAATTTCTGAGGATCCTACGACCAGGAGAAAAGCGAGATTAAGATCAACAAAAAGAACTAAAAACAATCTAGTATAAATTATAATGGAACGACTAATAATAAATAATCAACAATTCTGAACTTTTGCTTACAATGTTTCTAAAGATGTCAATTGAGTCAAATTGGGGAAACTAATTGGTGATCCCTTCAAATCAGTTATCCTCCTGACAAACAACAAAGATAACGATTCTTTACTTGTTTAAATTGATAAACATTCTAGCAACCACTAATGTCAAGAAAACCAATCTCACAGTTCACTTAATCTTTTCAACTCGGATATGGCATGAGGAATGGGGCCCTCCAAAGAAGTTCCTTGAATATCCCTGAATCTCAACAATTATACTCGAGTGAAAAGAAATCCTAAAACTACATAACGATATTGCATAAATTTGCACTAGATACATATTATTGCTCTTGAAGAGAAAGAGACCATTTTAGATCGGAAAAAGAAGCATATTATAATTTCTAAAGAAACCAAATATCTATGAAATTATTCAATGCCACAATGTGATTGACAGTTTTACACCGTTGAACGTATTAGAAATAAAATCACAAAAGTATTTCAAATTTGTATCCATCTCCATCCGTTATTAACTGTGAGACTACATTCTGAAAGTATCATTAAATAAATTTTCTTTACTTACAATCGCTTAAGATTGATCCAGTTGCCAATAAATTCAGGCAACTTTCCTGATACATCATTTCCATCTATACGACTGCAGGAACATGTAAAACGTTAAAAAATAAATGAATTGTGCAAAATATTAAAAAAAAAAAAGTTCAAAGATGAGTATCAACAAATAACATACAAATCAGTCAAGTTCTTCAAGTTTCCATAAGATTCTGGAATGGGGCCTGTGAAATTATTTGCAGAAAGAAATCTGCAGAAATGTAAACAAAGCTGAATCAGTGGTAAAAAAAAAAAGCCCCCAACACAAGAAGTAAACCATCAAAGCCATGAAAATGAACTAAAATGTTAGGGATTGTTGTCTAAAACGAAGAGAAATCTCACAGCTCTCTCAAGCGACTTAGTTTTCCGAGGCTTTCGGGCAGATTTCCTTCAAGCTGATTCTGCTCCAAGACCCTGTAAATTCAATGAACCGTTACCCTACACTTCAGTTCAGGTGGAGATTGAATTCAATGCGATAAATATAAAAGAGTGATGGAAGAAAGTATTACAGTTCCTCAAGTGAAGCAATGTCGCCAATTTCTGGAGGAATCGGACCAGTGAGTCGGTTTCCGAGCATGGAACTGCACATAAGAAACGATTGAATAAACATCAACCAATTAAATCATTCCCTAATCACGTAAAAACAGAAAAGAATAACTTACAAATGAACAAGAGGAATGCGAGCAAAATCCTTAGGGATCGATCCATTTATAAAATTGCGAGTGAGATCTCTGTTTTGGAGAAATCAATTAAGAAGACGCTAGAATCAATCCATACAAGTTTTACACGATTTAAACATGATCGTAACAACATCAAAACGAAAACAATGAAGGAATCAGTGGTAATCTGCAACTTACAATTGCGAGAGTTGAGTAAGATTTGCAAACGCTGCCGGCAATACTCCAACTAGATTCAGAGTTTTAAGCTGTCTGTCACAAATTTCAATATTTCAATACCTTTTAAAGATATATTAAAAAGAAAGGGAAAAAAAGGGTATGATTATTACATCCTGGTGACTCTGCAAAAATCAGTGGAGCAATTGCAGTGCACCAATCGCATGGTCTGTTGGTTTGTTCCATTATGGAAGCCATCGCCGTTGATGCATGAATTTTGGTGTACGCTCCAATTCAAGTTCTTCAGCTCTGCAGATATTGCTTGAAGGGCTTTCACTGTTGCATCCACCGTCACAACTCATAAAAATATTCTAACAACTTTGGTTTGGCTTGGTTTGTAGCTGGTAAATGTTATTGTAACTGCTCACATCCACCGGTAACCACCGACATTGTCCTCTTAAACTTTTATTTTTGAGCTTCCCCTCCAATCTGAGAAGGTTTCCACACCCTTGTAAAAGGTGTTTCGTTCTCCTCACCAACCATTGTGGGACTCTCACAATTCACCCCATTTCAGAACCCCGCGTGCTCGCTGATACTCTTTCATTTCTCCAATTGATGTGGAACTTCTGCCAAATCCACCCCTTTGGACATCCACAATAGCATGATATTGTCCACTTTGAACATAAACTCTTATTGTTTTGTTTTTTATTTTCTCAAAAGACCTCACCTTGGCTAATTAAATGGCTAATTAAAGAAATGATTATGTGATGTCACATTGGTTGGGGAGGATAACAAACGAACATTTATAAGGGTGTGGAAACCTTCTCCTAGCAGATACGTTTTAAAACCTTGAGGGGAAGCCCGAAAGGGAAAGCGCAAAGAGGACAATATCTACTAGCGGTGGATTTGGGTCGTTACAAATGGTATCAGAGCCAAACACTAGACGATGTGCCAGCCTTCTCGCTATTCTCCAAAGGGGGTAGACATGAGGCGATGTGCCAGTAAGGACGCTGGCCCCAAAGGGGGGTGGATTTGGGGGAGCTCTCACATCGATTGGAGGAAGGAAAGAGTGCCAGCGAGGACGCTGGGCCCCGAAGGGAGGTGGATTGTGATGTCCCACATTGGTTGGGGAGGAGAACAACCCACCATTTATAAGCGTGTGGAAATCTTCCCCTAGCTGACGCGTTTTAAAGCCTTGAGGGGAAGTCCGAAAGGGAAAGCCCAAAGAGGACAATATCTACTAGCGGTGGATCATGAGTTTATAAACAAGGAATACATCTCCATTGGTATAAGACATTTTAAGGAAACCAAAAGCAAAACCATATGATATTATTGGAGAGGTTCGTGATTTTAAGCATAGTATCAGAGTTATAGCCATGTTAATAGAATCTTCAAGTGTCAAACAAAGAAGTTGCTAGCCTTGAGGTGTAGTCAAAAGTGACTAAGTGTCGAACAAATGATGTATTTTATTAAAGGGCTCCAGCGAAATGAGCCGAATTCGATTAAGGGAAGACTCTATGATGTACTTTGTTCGAGGAAAGAATTGTTGGGAAAGAGTCCCACGTTAGCTAAGTAAGAGGACAACCATGAGTTTACAAGTAAAGAATACATCTCCATTGGTACGAGACCTTTTGGGAAAAACCAAAAGTAAAACCACGAGAGGTTTTGCTCAAAGTGAACAATATCATACTATCGTGGAAGTTCGTTATTTCTAACATACTCTTCTCAATGATCCTCAACGGTAAAGTGTTCAAAGTCTCAGAAAATGCCCGAAAGCGGATAGATAAATCAAACTTGACAAAAAAAAAAAAAAAAAA